AGCAGTGGCAGCGACGGCAGCGACGGCAGCGACGGCAGCGGCAGCGGCAGCGGGAGAGGGCCCGGCCCGCGGCTCCGGGCCCGGACACGTCCGCACGGCGCCATCTTGGATGCGACTTCTCGGCCCGGCCCGGCCCGGCCCGGCCTCGCTGCTCAGGCCCCGCCCACGCAGCTGCGCGCGCCGGCGCAGGACACGCCCCCGGCCCCCTCCGCCGGCGCGCGGGAGCGGCGCGCCCTCTAGCGGCGGCCAGGGGCGGGGTCGCCTGGCAACGCCCTCCGTTGCCTAGCGACCGCGCCGCCAAGCCGCCGGGGCGTGCGGGTCTCCGGGCTCCAGACTCACGGCCCACCCGCAGCCCTCCGGGCCGCCGGGCCACGCATCAGGCGCAGCGGAGCAAGCGGAGGCCCGGACGCTCCCCTCTCCCGCTGCAGGAGAAGCCTGAATTCAGGCACACGCAGGATAATTCGAATCTCATTTGGGGTGAAGGTGCAAATGCACCCGAAAGGTTAGCCGGGTGCTTGAAAAGACTTGACTGCCGCAGCCCTTCCCCCTCTGCTTCTTCACCGAGCCATTTAGTAAATAAAGCTAAATATGATAAATACCATCATGCAGGATCGGCCTAATGAGGATGTCTCCCTTCCCTGACTTGGCGCTCCACTTGCCCGGGCATCGGGCCCCAGCTAGCAGGGTCAAGGACCCGGAAGCCGAGGGGCTGCAGCTCCTTCCATGAGCAGGGACACCTCGCCTAGTTCCAGTCCAGCAACACTCCACTCACTTTCCTGGGGAGGCCTTGCAGAAAAAAGGTGGGACATTAATACAGTTGCCCTGCCTTGTAGCTGATGCCAATCTTCATTTCGCCCCCATCTATTGTGGTTATACTTTGGCGATCAGCGCTGTGATTATGCAGAGCAAAATCTGGGCTGTTGAAGAGCATTTAGTTGCTCCCTGGTAAAGGCTGTTATGCGGAAAGAGTAGAGCTCAGCTGCGGTAATCGTTTTGCTGCCAACCCACTTAGAGAAGAAGGGGCATGATCCTAGTCCCCATTCTCAGTGGCCATCCTTCACGATTCGGTCTGGAAAATTCATTGGCCAAAAGACTCAAACAACAGATTTAACGCCCAGGTCAGCAGAAGCTCAGAGCAAGCAGCTCGAATCCATGACATAAGCATAATTGCATAACATGCCAATTACCACAAATTGGTCTCCAAATAAGATTCATTTCAAATAGCAAATTGCGTTGCTGAGTTGCTCTCTTGTTCTCGTTCTTGCAGACGGTACTTTCAGTGACGCATTTGGAATGCTATCTTCCGTCAGATACTCGATACACAACTCAAGTGACCTTGCTATTACTGAGTCTGGCCAGTAAGCACCCAGTTGTCTGCTACCTAACTCCAGCACAAAAGTTATGGAACAGACGGCCTGGACTCTTTCTTACTATTACAAGGGCATTTGTTCCGTGCCGCCACTTTGACTCTGACTTTCTGCAACCCGGTGTATGAAAGGTCTCTTAAATGCCCTGGCTGTGACAGCCTTTTTCACCTCTTGGAAATGCCAAGGCAGTGGTTTCCGCTATGGAGTTTTTGCGTGCCTTGGAGAAAAAGGGATGCTTACATCCTTGTCCCACAACATTTGGGATGCAAGAACATTAAAGCTTGCCACTATGAAAGCCCTACAAGATGCAGAGTTCCAAGTAGGGACCCGACTGGAAAGGAGAGCAGGAGATGCCCAAAAAGTTTGCATTTGCATGAGCCACATGTTCTCGGAAAAGCAGTATCCCCGTTTTTTTTGTTTTGCAAAGGCAAAGTGATGTTGTAACACAAATGAAGGCATGAGATGGGTAAGGATCCAGAACAAGCAGCTTTCTGGGCAAGCAACATTGTCCAAACAGAATAGTACATGTCCTCAGACAATTATGCCAGTAGCTCTGGTCCTATTTTGAAAATAAAGACCTTAAGTCAAAGTTTTAAGGCTGCAACCAAGCTCTTGCCTCAAAAGGGCACTGCCCCATTTCCAAAATTATAACTGCATTAGGAGCGCATCCTGGGAGTCCTAACAGAGCTCCTGGGAACTTAACTTGAGCAGCCTCTAAATCAGACGACATTCCCCTAATCCAAAGAGCAGCTTCACAAAAAATGCAGAAGTGGAGGGAATTGCTTTGCTTCTTAGACTTCAATAGCTGTAGGAATATATTGACCCCTTCGGTGTACAGGAAACATAAGGTGACAGATTTGAAGGAGTAACTCCGTGATTGAGAAACAGTGAGGCAAACAACCAAGCCATGAAGTCTGTCTGAAGGAATGTGGAAGGGAGAAAAAGATAATTGGGTTGCAGAAAGGCTGCCTTCTCTTATGTTCCCAGTAGTTTTATGAGACGGGGTCGTAGGGCAAGGTGGAGCCAGCAAGGAGTGAACTAGTAAATTTGTAGTTATGAACACACAGGCGTAATGGTTGATGGATATTATCCCACACACCTCGAATAGACAATAGGATAATTCTAATGCGCATGTGATGCATGCAGCTGTATGTAGTGGGATGAGGTGGGAGAGATGAAGTAGGCGGACGGAAAGACTGTGCCCCCTTAGTACCTCGTCCAGTGAGGGAATTGGGGAGGGCTCTGGCGGCCGAGTCGGGGTGCAAAAGGAGGTGATTTGTCTGTCTGTGCTTTGGAGAGATTCCGACAGAGCGGGCTCTCCCCGTCTATTGCACTAAACGAAGGAAGCGCCTCACTCTGATGGTAGTCTTGGCTATTCAACTTGAGGAGAAGTATTTTCGCTGCTTTTTGCATAACAGATCCGATAGGCTTCTGAGAAGCCAACATATAACCTATTACATAGTGTGGTACAATATTACCTCCAAATATTTTAATCTTCCATAATTTGACCATCTGGAACCCATCTACACAGGGAAAATGTCTTTTCAGACACAAAGAAATGTTTTACCCCAGGTCTGGAATAAATAAATAACTGCATCATCTGCATAGAGTAGAATACAAAATTTCTTTACTCCCAGTTTCAGTAGCTGCATATCAGAGTTATTTAGAACATCTCAAAGAGTAAGAATAAAAAGAAATCTTTATGAATTAGTATGGAAATGGTACTTAACCCCAGTGAAGTTGAATTCTATAGACAGTAAATATTCCAATTTATGTCAGAGATGTGGCTGTGGAGTGGGAATATATTTTCATATATGGTGGGAATGTGAATATATAATGAAGTTTTGGAAAGAGTTTAAGAAAAGTAGTAAAATATTAAGTTTAAATATTGCAATATGCCCTGAGATTGCACTACTTTCAATATTTGATAACAAACAATGGAGTTGGAGTAATATAGAATTAATAATAAATTTAACAACAGCTGCAAGATTAATCATAGCTAAGAAACGGAAAGTAAAATTTAACTATCAGTTGGATGATTGGTATAGAGAAGTTTGGAATATAACTATTAATGATATATTGACTTGTGATATTAGAAAAGGGTATATAAAGAAAAACAATTTTAATGAGATTTGGGGCATATTTATTGAATATGTATTTTAATAAGGGAAAGTGTTGGAGCTTTCAGAAGTGTTGCAATTTTGGAAGGGGAAACTTCTTGAAAGACCTTTTGATAAGAGTTTTCAGCATGTATCCAATGGGGTACATAGTTTCATGGTTTATTTTAATTCTATGTATATTTTTTATTCTAATTGTAATGTTTTATTTGTAATTTACCTTGCAAAATTCATAAAATGATATGAAAAAGAACATCCAAGAGCATTTAGAAATAAATTGAACCAAGTAGGGGCAAAAGGATATAACCTTGCCTAACTCCCCCGGGAACAACTATGCCTTTAGTCAGCAATCCTCGACTTGCCACATCTAATTTGTAAAATGCTATTGCTGTACAGAGCTTTAATAAGATACAAAAGTCTTGTCGGCAAGAATATAATCTATTTCCTGCCATAACTTACTCCTGGGAATAGAATCAAAGGCTTCCTTTAAATCCATAAAGGCAGTAAATTTCCCTTGCTGGGTTTGTGTATGTTTTAAAGCATGGTGTGATTCCATGCAATTGGTTGGAGACAGCAATTATTCTTGATGCCCTGCTTTTACACACTGGTCTGATGAATGCCCATAACCGGGCCTGCGAGAAGGTAACTGCTAATTTATCCTCACCTTTTCTTTGTCCTTGGCATCTCCACCATGGCTGCCTCAAACGTTACAAATTAATGCTGAATTTGAATAATCCTAAGGAAACATGCTCCTTCATGGATCACTGCCTTGCCGTGGCGAAGGGGCTTGCGTAGCTCAATGAAGCTGTGAGCGCTGCCGTGCAGGGCCACCCAAGACGGACAGGCCATAGCAGAGAGCTCTGACGAAACGTGATCCCCTGGAGAAGGAAATGGCAGCCCACTCCAGCATCTTTGCCATGAAAACCCCATGGACAGTACCAAAAGGCAAAAAGATGTGATGCCGGAAGATGAGCCCCTCAGGTCGGAAGGTGTCCAATATGCTACTGGGGAAGAGCAGGGAGCTAGTACTAGTCGCACCAGAAAGAATGAAGCGACTGGGTCAAAGCCGAAAGGACACTCAGTTGTGGATGTACCTGGTGGTGAAAGGAGAGTCCGATGCTGCAAAGATCTATACTCCACAGGAACCTGGAATGTAAGATCCATGACTCAAGGCAAGCTGGACGTGGTCAAACAAGAGATGACAAGACTGAACATCGACATCTTAGGAATCAGTGAACTAAAATGGACAGGAATGGGTGGATTTAATTCAGATGACCATCAGGTATACTACTGCGGGCAAGAATCCCTCAGAAGAAATGGAGTAGCCTTCATAATAAAAGAGAAGGAAAAGCAGTACTGGGATACAGTCTCCAAAATGACAGAATGATCTCAGTTCGAATCCAAGGCAAACCATTCAACATCACAATAGTCCAAGTCTATGCCCCAACCACTGGTTCTGAAGAGGCTGAAGTTGACAAGTTCTAAGAAGGCCTACAACACCTTCTGGAATTAACTATGTGCTCTGCAGCCAAAGACGGAGCAGCTCTATAAAGTCACTAAAAACTAGACCAGGAGCTGACTGTGGCTCAGATCATGAGCTTCTCGTTGCAAAATTTAGGCTTAAATTGAAGAAAGTAGGGAAAAGCACTAGGCCACTCAGGTATGACCTAAATCATCCCTGATGAATATACAGTAGAGGTGCCAAATAGATGTATGGAATTAGATCTGATAGACAGAGTGCCTGAAAAACTTTGGATGGAGGTTCGCAACATTGTACAAGAGGTAGCACTAAAACCATCCCAAAGAAAAAGAAATGCAAGAAAGCAAAATGGCTGTCTGAGGAAGCTTTACAAATAGCTGAGGAAAGAAGGGAAGTGAAAGGCAAGGGAGAAAGAGAAAGATACATCCAACTGAATGCAAAATTCCAGAGAATAGCTAGAAGAGATAAGAATGCCTTCTTAAATTAACAGTTCAAAGAAATAGAAGAAAACAATAGAATAGGAAGGGCCAGAGATCTCTTCAAGAAAATTGGAGATATGAAGGGAACATTTCATGCAAAGATGGGCATGAAAAAGGACCAAAACGGCATGGACCTAACAGAGGTAGAAGAGATTAAGAAGAGGTGGCAAGATTACACAGAGGAACTATACAAGACAGAGCTTAACATCCCTGATAACCACAATGGGGTGGTCACTGATCTCGAGCCAGACATCTTGGAATGTGAAGTCAAATGGGCCTTAGGAAGTCTGAGCAACAACAAAGCTAGTGGAGGCGACAGTATTCCAGCTGAGCTATTCAAAATCTTGAAAGACGATGCAGTAAAAGTGCTACACTCAGTATGCCAGCAAATCTGGAAAACTCAGCAGTGGCCACAGGATTGGAAAAGGTCAGTTTACATTCCAATCCCAAAGAAGGGCAGTGCCAAAGGATGTTCAAGCTACTGCACCATTGCACTCATTTCACATGCCAGCAAAGTGATGCTCAAAATCCTACAAGCTTAGGCTCCAGCAGTATGTGGACCGAGAACTACCAGAAGTACAGGCAGGATTTTGAAGAGGGAGAGGAACTAGAGGTCAAATTGCCAACATCTGCTGAATCATGGAGAAGGCTAGGGAGTTCCAGAAAACATCTGCTTCTACTTCATTGACTATGCTAAAGCCTTTGATTGTGTGGATCACAACAAATTGTGGCAAGTTCTTAAAGAGATGGGAGTACCAGACCATCTTATTTGTCCTTTGAGAAACATATATGCAGGTCAAGAAGCAACAGTGAGAACTGGACATGGAACCACTGATTGGTTCAAAATTGAGAAAGGAGTTTGGCAAGGCTGTATACTGTCGCCCTGCCTATTTAACTTATATGCTGAGCACATCATGAGAATGGTGGGGCTAGATGAATCACCAGTTGGAATTAAGATTGCTGGGAGAAGTATCAACAACCTCAGATATGCAGATGATACCCCTCTCATGGCAGAAAGTGAAGAGGAACTAAAGAGCCGCTTGATGCGGTGAAGGAGGAGAGTGCAAAAGTTGGCTTGAAACTCAACATTAAGAAAACTAAGATCATGGCATCCGGTCCTCTCACTTCCTGGCAAACAGTTGGGGAAGAAATGGAGGTAGTGACAGATTTTATTTTCCTGGGCTCCAAGATCACCGCAGATGGGGACTGCAGCCAAGAAATTAAAAGACGCTTGCTCCTGGGGAGGAAAGCTATGGCAAATCTAGACAGCATCCTAAAAAGCAGAGACATCACCCTGCCAACAAAAGTGCGTATAGTCAAGGCGATGGTTTTCCCAGTTGCAATGTATGGCTGTGAAAGCTGGACCATAAGGAAGGCTGAGTGCCAAAGGATTGAGGCCTTTGAATTGTGGTGCTGGAGGAGACTCCTGCGAGTGCCTTGGACCGCAAGGCGATCAAACTGGTCAGTCCTAGAGGAGATCAACCCTGACTGCTCTTTGGAAGGCCAGATCCTGAAGATGAAGCTCAAATACTTTGGCCATCTACTGAGAAGGAAGGACTCCCTGGAGAAGAGCCTAATGCTGGGAACAATAGATGGCAAAAGAAGGGAACAGCAGGGGATGAGGTGGCTGGATGGAGTCACTGAGGCAGTGGGTGTGAGCTTAGGTGGACTCCAGGGGATGGTGGAGGACAGGAAGGCCTGGAGGAATGTTGTCCATGGGGCCGCGATGGGTCGGATGTGACTTCGCAACTAACAACAACAACAAAGGAAACCTGCTGGGGAAAGTAGAAGGCAGAAGAAAGACCAACTTTGAAATGGACCAATTTCACAAAGGAAGCCACAGCCTGGAGTTGACAAGATAGCAGGGCTATCAAGGGTGAGCCTTTCATAGGGCCACTCTAAGTTGGAGCCAGCTTGATGGCCTACAACACAAATCGAATACTGCATTGACTTACCTTGCAGAGTTTAGGGGTTGCTATGATATGGACGTGCTTAAGAAAATGCAATATAACATGGATGTGGTTTACCTGAATTTCAGCAAGGCCTTTGACAAAGTGCCCCATGATATCCTGGTGGAGAAACTGATGAGTTTTGGGAAACACCAAAGCACTGTCCAGTGGATTAGGGCATGGTTGACTGACCGAAAGCAGAGGGTAACCATTAGTGGGGAATCATTGAGATGGTGGCCAGTGACAAGTGGGGTCCCCCAGGGCTCTGTCCTGGGGCTGATCCTGTTTAATCTTTTCATCAGTGACATGGAAGAAGGGGTGAACAGTCTGCTGATCAAATTCGCAGACGACACTAAAACTGGAGCAGTGGCCACAACTGAGGAGCAGGTACTCCAGGTCCAAAAGGATCTGGACAGACTATGGAAGTGGGCAGGAGACAACAGGATGGCGTTCAATGTGGATAAGTGCAAGGTCTTGCACTTGGGGCATAGGAATAGCTGTCATAAGTACAGGTTAGGGGACAAGTGGCTGGAGAGCAGCACTAGTGAAAGGGACCTCGGAGTGCTGGTTGACTGCAGGCTGAACATGAGTCAGCAGTGTGATGCAGTGGTCAAGAGGGCGAACGCCACCCTTGGTGGCATAGCCAGAAGTGTGGCTTCTGGATCGAGAGAGGTGTTACCACCACTCTATATGACTCTGATGCACCCGCAACTGGAGTATTGTGCTCAGTTTTGGGCCCCTCATTGCAGGAAGGATATAGCCAGGTTAAAGTCAGTGCAGCGTAGGGCCACAAGGTTGGTGGTCAGTTTGCAGGGGATGCCGTATGAGGCGAGACTGAGGGAACTGGGCCCCTTCAGCCTGGAGGAGACTCAGAGGGGACCTGTTGGCGACATACAGGTATGTGAAGGGGTGTCACACGGAGGTGGGTAGAGACCTGTTCTCCCCTGCAGAGGAAGGCAGGACACGCTCCAGCGGAGCAAAGCTCAGGGAGCCAAGGTTCCATCTGGATGCCAGGAAGCACTTCCTGACAGTCAGGACCCCAAGGGTGTGGAATGGGCTTGCACAGGAGGTCGTTTATGGGGTTTGCTGTTTAATGCATGCAGTCCTTTAGCACTGGCTTTGACTCTTCAGGAAGCTGTTCTCCTATTCAAAATATATGAAAGGAGTCCTACTCGTTTATAATGTAAGATTAAAAATAACGGTGTTTAGTGACTGGACAAGAGCTGCAGTTAAATCATAATGCAGAGATACATAGCATTAAGGTAAAAAATGATGTATGCAGTGTGATCTTCATGTCAGATGTCAAAAGGGGTTTGCGGCTCCCGGGGTTTTCTTTTGTGTGGGAAACAGGTCCAAATGGCTCTTGGAGTGTGAAAGGCTGCCGGCTCCTGACCAAGACCGTGTTCGTAGCAGAATAGCTGCAGTTCAGTCAACATTTACTCTCTGCTTGTGAAGTCCAGCAGAGCAAGTTCTCTGACAGAACTTTAGCCCAATCTCATGCACAGCACCCCCTCACCAAGCCCAGTGTCACATGCTGCAGTTTTGGTCTTGGCTACTGTCGCAATGGGTCGGACACAACTTCGCGACTAACAACAACAACAACAACTGTAAGCACACTCATCGCAATCTCAAACATACCCTAGTCAAGCGTTTGATAACAAAATGGCTTTATTATGCAGAAGTATATCAATTCAGAACAATTCTAATTCTGATGTCAGAGCCACAAACATGTATTTACATTACATTCTATATCATGTACTTTAATATAAAGTGACTGGTCTGCTATTAAAAGCTGAACTGCAGCTTGTTGCCCTTTGCAAGAGATCATGGTAAAAGCTTGTTTAAACTCCCTTTCATTCTGAACTAAAGAGAGGTGGCCAACTTGTTGAACAAAACATCTGGGCAGCTACAACTCCCCTCAGCCCTGGCCAGCATAGACAACTTTGTGTGTGTGTGTGTGTGTGTGTGTGTTTCGGTGGGTGAGGGATGGGTGCAGTTAACTTCCAGGCAAATTAAGAATCAGTTCCATGCTTGTTCCCAAACCACAAGGAACTATCAGTTACAAGAGGCATTATTTCAACAAGATCTGGGGATCCACAAATACAAGCCCTTTAGGCATTCACTTCCCCCTTTAGGCATTTTAGGAAGTGCAATTAGTGCCAGTTCCACAGAGTTTGCGCATCTCCACTTAGCATTGCTCTGACCTGCTGTGCCATTCGGCAGAATCCTCAGGTATTAGACTAATCATACTTCATTCTTCCTATTATGCAAAAAAGAAAGGCAATACAGAAACACAAGTATGACATGAGGGTAAGGACAACAGGAACAGGCAGCAAGACAGTGAGTCAAACTCTCACTTTGGGAATGTTGTTCTGTAGTTTGGTACACAGCCGAGGCAACACCAAAAGGTGCACTTTACGCTGGCTTCAAGCAAAGCCAAGAAAGGTTCTCAGATGGAGTCAGTGTTGCCGCTGACACCAAACGCCTGATTGTTGGTCTTTGGCAAGGAACAAAACTAAATGTCCCCCATTTCCTTCCCCAGCACACATCCTCAGCAAGGCAGGTCTGTTCCCTCTGCAAGTAGACTTGGTAGGATTCTGAACTGGGTTTGTGCTTCAACTCCCCGTGATCTCTCAGAGACAGTTCTCACTGCAGAGCTGTAGGAAGTCTCATAAAACTTAAAAATGTGTACCTGAAGTTTGATTCTTCACCAAGCCACAATTACGTTTTTCACTGAAACTGTACTTCAGCTGCTGGTGTTGAGCAAATTCTACCCACTGCCCCCATCAAATCCCATCATAAGCAGGGCACGACTCACTGGAAGAACTCACAGCAGAAAAATCCCAATCTCCTTATTGGCAGATGGACTAAACCAGACATGCAAGCTGCCCTCTGCTTCACGCGTGGCAGTAAGGAAGAAGTAACTTGAGAGGTCCTGCTGATGCTGCAAGCATCCAGGTCACATGATGAGCAAAGCTAAGAACCTCCAACCAATTTTAGCAAGTGTCAATGGAAGCGCTACAAAACATAAACTGCAGTCAAATCATTCTTCAGGGGGGCCATGGCAGTAAATCCTGGAAAACAGAGGATCCTGAACAAGATACAGTTTGCTGTAAGAATAAGCAGCAGCAACTGCCCATAAATAAAAAGAGGACCTGAAGAACAAGCATGGGGGCTACGCTAGGCAGTGGGGGGAGGGGTTACCCTGAGGTGCACGGTTTTGCCAGCATGATTGATGCGCTTGCGACAACTGGCATCTAGTCAGCAGCAGCACCGGCCTGTGGGAAACTGACTCCATGGGGAGACCGGCTCACCAGGAAAGCGCCCGGCCGAGGGTCACTGCCACTTGTAGATCTTCACCATCTTCTCCGTCAAGGTCGCAAGGAAGCTGCTGCGATTCACCTCGTACGGACAGACGTCCAACACGGGCAGGTCCGCTGGGAGCTTCTGCAGCAGGGAGCCACTCCCTGCATCCCAGAGCTGTGGGATCAACAGAAAGAGGTCATGGGCACCTTCCTGGGGAACACGTTCTGTGGCTTCAGTGGATGCAGGGCAGAACAGGGAGACAGGTGATTCTACAGCAAGGCAAGCCACGGGATTAAGTCTGCCCAGTAGAGCAAAACTCCTATGACAACCGGCCTATCCTCACGGCACGTTTTGAGTGGATTCAAGCTAAGCAGGCGGCTTTCCCGTATTTAACAGCAGCACCAGAAGGGGGCATCTGGGTTCCCCCCGTGGGTTGTGCCTACGGAGGTGAGTTGGGAAGGCAGGAAAGACCAATGCCTCATACAGGACTGAAGCCATGAAATACCCCACAGGCAGGCACATACAGAAGCATTTTGACGCCAGCAAGGACTGAAGTGCTCCCCGCAAGCACACCCTCGCTCAGCCTTTGCGAGCTGCGCAGTTAAGACAGAGAAAAACAAAATACTGAAGCACCCCCCCCCCCACACACACACACACGATGGGATGCCAGAATTTGACTGCATTTCTATACTGGAAGCCACAACACTGTGCTGCAATGCCAAGGAGGAAACAGTACCATGGCAGAGTTTGACGCCTCGTCCCCAGCGCACACAAGAATGCTGCCATCATCTTCGGGGCTCTGGAAGATGGCATTTTTGGTCAGGAGCTTGCACGTCGGACCCGCGGTAAGTGTCTGGACTGGGCGGCACGAGCAGAGCACCTCTTCGGCCCCGTCCGTCAGCTGCGTGCAGGTCAGCTGCATCACCACACACCTCAAGCAGCCGTGGTTTCGATCTGCAGGGCAGAGGCAAGCTTAACGGCACGGTACGCTGCGCGCCGGGTTCGGGGCAGGCCCTGCCCAGCCGTGCGGGGAGCCTGCTGCCTGGCTGCCCCGTCCCCTTGGGACACCCTCCCGGCGCACATGCACCACCCCTTGTGGAAGGCATGAAGTTCTAGGGGAGGACAGAGTCCTGAAGCAAACGCCACTTCCCTGCCCCTGCCCCCTCACTGCCCTTTCCTGGATTTAGGAAGTGGGGAGTGGGGAAGAGCCGTTCCTTTGCTCTCGGGCTGTTTCATGGGGGCGTGTTTTAGGAATGGGGCAGGGGTATCCTGCTCTCCACCTCCCTATTTGGCCTAGCATCCTTGCACGCTGCAGCAGGGGACTGTATGCACACGGGTGTGAGCAAAGAGCCCTGTTTGTGCCCTTGCAGAACAGGCACTGGACACCTGCCAGGACTGGCGAGCCCAAGGTTGGAATTCAAGTTCGAGAAGGTGTTTGTTACTGCTTTTAATCGATTGATTACACCCCCTCATGAACATAGGGAGCTGCCTTTTTCACTGCAGCCCACCCCTATTTTTTGAAGCAAGGGCAGCCAGGACACAGGTCGTCATGGGCAACAGAGTTAGGGCTGAGGTTAGGTGGGGCAGGCAGAAGCTCAGCAGTCCTAGAGGGGGCCCTGCGTTACCTTTCGAAGCACTCCTCCTGACTCTACAGGTCAAAAAGATTTTATGCAGTCAGGATGGTTGACAACAATCCTATTAGGCCTGGTTGTTGACAGTCATGAAAAGAAATGGGGTCGGGGAAGAGGTTGTCAAGATGAAGAGTCTCGTTACAGGAGCTGGTGTGGTGGGAGGTAGGGAAGAGGCAGGCCCCAAGAGAACCCTGGGCACAAGTGCAGCTTTTTAAAGATGCAGCTAATTAAAAGTTAACAGGGAAAGATAATATAGAGCCACAGCTGCTCCTGGAACAGAAGGTGCTTCTAGGGAAACAAAAGAGCCCGTTTGCCCCGGTGAGGGTCCTTCCCCACCAAAATAATGCCCCCCTCCTGTTTCAGGGGGAGCACGGAAGGGTCTAAGTGGAGTGAAAAGAGCGCGGACCCAATATCCACGCACGGCAACTTACTGGGCCTGAAGGTGGCGAGGCAGTGGCGAGTGCTGGCCTCCGTCTGCAGGTCGATGCAGCCCCCGGGCTCCAGGAGGAGGTGGTGAGGCTGGTAGGAGCGGCTGGCCTTCTGTTCCCAGAAGCAGGCTCCTTCCAGAGTCCCGGCCATCAGCCCACCGTAGGGCAGGGAGGCAGAAGCCATTCGAGGAAGATATGAGACAGATACCACGGGGCACCTGGATGGGCAGAGCAGTAAGCTGAAACCAGCAAGGCCCGGCTAGTCCACTTTCCCCCTTCTTAACGCAAAAAGGTATCCAGGCTGAAAAGCAAGTCTGTGCGCCCACTTCTGGAGACTGCAAGCCGAAGACGCCGCCCAGCCCAAATTCTGAGGCTGACCTGTTTGGGAGTAACCACCACCAAACACTCCAACTAAGAATAGGATGGGGTTGCTACTGCCTCTTCCTGGGCCCTCCAGATGCTTCAGGTCCAACACCTTGCATTCTCGACCACTGGTCACACTGCATGGGGCTGATGGACACTCAAGTGGAGGGCCCCATGTTGGGGAAGGGTGACCTGAAGCCACAAAGTGACTTTGGATCAGCAAAGAGTGCTAAACAAACAGAAAGTACCACTAATTGTTCTGTTTCCTCCTCGGAAATTGTTTTATTTACTTAATGATTTTATATACCATTCAACAGCCATTTATGGTTCCCAGAACGGTTTACAGTAAAGATCGAATGGAACTAGGATGGGATCGCTAATCAGCAGAAGGTTAAGAGGAGTGCTTTTAGTTTACTGCATGGCCTTCAGTGTATCAGTTCCAAAACATAACAAAATACCAACACTCCAATTTAAAAAGATGGAACTGTGACTTCCCATTTGTTACATTTTTTTAATAGAAGCATTACAAATGTTTAAAGAGTTGCATCAAAAAGGCTCTCGGTTATTTTTCAGCAATATTTATATACTGCTATTAATCTGAAAATACCTTGAAGCCCTTTGCACGCAACAAAACATAAAAGACAGAAAAAAACCACACATGCAAATACAAATCCAGCAGGCCGGTTCAAGGACCGCTCTGAAGTGGGGAGGGAGAGCCAAGCTTAAAAAGAAATGTATTTTCCCCCCCCCTGGCGTCAACATCTTGGGACATTTCGTATTTCCACAGAAAGCTGGAACTATACCTGGATTTCTGTGGTGCGAGCTCCTGGACGTGAGCGCTCGTGTCCCGCAGGTCGTAAACCAGGACAGCGCCGTTGACCAGTCCCGCGTAGACGTAGTTGGTGTCATCCAGGCACCAGCAGCAGCTCCAGACGGGGCGGCCGGCGTTGTACGTCTGCACAACCGTGTTCGTCGTCAGGCTGAGCGAAGGGCAGAGTGGTCGGTGACTGCCGTGCTCGCTCCCATCCAGGGTGCAAGCACCGCCCGGCGCGGGCTCCCCGAGACAAGGCAGGAGCTGCTCCCAGGCCCGGGCCAGACCGGCTCCGGGGCCGGGGGAGGGGAGAGCAGCGCTCCCGCACCTGCCGCCCTCACCTTGTGAGCGTGAGCGTGTGGTCCAGGGCGGCAGACAGGAGCAGGCCGTCAGCGCGGCTGCTGAAGGCCAGGCCCCGGATCTGCTTGCTGTGGATGGGGACATACTGGCTGCTCTTCAGGTTGACGGCACTCATCATCTTGACTCCCCAGCCTAAGACAGCAAGGGAGGGCGGTCTGGGGGCTTGCCGTGCTGAGGCCCAGTTTCCGCGGCTGGCTGGGTCAGGGAAAGGCCCCCGTTTCTGGGGCAGTTTCCAGCTGGTGACTTACCGGGAAGCAGGGTGCTTTGTGGAGAGGGCTGTGACACCACGAGGCAACTCAGCGGGTCGCAGTAGGCCATGACGCGGCAGTTGCCCGCCTGCGACACCAAAAAGGCTCTCTCGAAATGGTACTTGTGCTGGCCCTGGCTGGAGAGGCAGCCTGGGAAGCAAGAGCGGGAGTTGCTCGGCTGCTGAGAGGAGCCGCCGCTGTGCCGGGCCATCAGGGCCTTCAGCTCCTGCAGAACGGGAAGGGGAGGAGCATGCAGGTGTGGCACCCGGAGTGCTATGCGCTTCCATGCGCGGGAACAGCCGGGACAATGGTCTTGTTGCTTTAGCCGGAAGAAAAATGACAGAGACCAGCAGCTCACCTCCGCAAGCTCACAGGTCTGCTGTCCTTCCCTCGACGTATGCCTCTTGCCTGGGCTAGCATGACTTCCTTCACCCCCTGCTAGGCCCTCCTGTTGTCCCTTCCAATGCTGGACAGGCGACACTGATGCCTTCCCGTGTGTGGACATGGGAAACATTTCACAGCATGCAGGCCGAGATGAGGGGAAGGGAGAGCAATTTTAGAAGGGTTTCTCCGGTGATCTATCGGGGGATGTCCTGTATGTCTCTCTGGCATCTTTCCTGCTACTGCAATGCTGGAATGGGCCGGGGTGGGGGGACAAGAGGAAGAGACTCCATATGGGAATTCATCTTGTCTTTCTGAGTAAAATACCCATCTTGGAAATGTCTCTGTACCATTTTGCACAGGCTGGGATTCCAATTCTGGCCCCAAGACTAACATCTGCATTAACTGTGTAACATTAACCTCAGCAAATCCATGCTCTTTTGACAAACAGAGTCACATTCTGCCAAAATCAGAGCGTCAAAGAAGGGGTGTTCCACTCCCCAGATAACCATTCACGCTTTCCTAAAATTGCATGTTCATTTTCTTTGGAAAGACTCTTGGGAAAGAGAGGGCCAGTGAGAAGGCCCTGCTGGTCTGAGCTACAAGCTCACCTACCTGAACCTGCTGCCGAAGTTTACTGCACTCATCCGTCAAGACCTGCAGCTGGAGGCGGCTCTGAGCTGATTCCAGCTCTGCTTTTCTTCGCAACATTTGCTCCTTTTCTAAAGAACTGCAGAAGAAGAGTAGCTCAAACTCCAGTGTCACACAACTGGGATTCTGAATCTGCTGCCTGAAGCAATTCCCTCAGCCAACCTGGCCCACTGCCTCCTGCCCATGGGATTCCCTCATTTTACTTTTCCACTTGCCCAGGAACAATCAGAAACAAATCCAAAGTTCTCTTGAATTTTTTAAAAAGACAGCTGAAAAGTAACACTTTCGCCCAGTGTGACCACAGGTGATTCAACCCAATAATGTAACAGTCACCTCATTTGATCCACTCCACTCTCCCAACACAAAAAGGGGAGAGAACCAGGCAAGACTTTACGTGTGGCTGTCTAAATCCCAGTCAGCTAATGCAGGCCTAAGCCATGGTGCCCCAAGCCAAAATCTGATGTTAGGGGGCAGGATCTGCAACTTCACTGGCATCCTACGTTCTGTTCCTGACAAACTTGAATTTTGGAAGTACAGTAGACCAAAGGCCTCAGCAATGGCTGGCAAAGTCAGGGGCTTATTATTAACTTACGTTTAATCTCCCTAGCGCCAGCTGTTCTCTGGTGCACTAAGAACCGTTCGAACAACAGACAACCAGTAAGCGGTTATGCCAAGCACAAATTCTCCCCACCAATAGGAAGACATTTGGGAGCAAATACCTTTTCATGTGTTCCTGTTCACTGGTGTCCAAGGCTTTCAGAGTCCGGGCGTACAGCACAACTATGTCAGAGCGCTTTGCTTTCTTATTGCACTGGAAGGCAAACAGGGGGCAAAGGTGAGCCAGCTTCTGGTCACTGCCACTACCTGGGTGGCCCACCTGTTGTTTCCGCTCTTTGCAAAAGCAGAAGAGAATGTCTGCAGCAGCTCTGCCTAACTTTCATGTGTGTTTGATCACAACTCTCAGTCAGCTGCTGGGAGCTGTGGTCCAACACATCAGGGGGGCACCAGTTTGGAGAAGGCTGGGGCATCTGCTGTGAGCCCTCCCCTCATCTCAAGGAGCTCTCCTGAAGCATCAGCAGTACTCCCTAAACAGGCAAGAGCGGACCGATCGCTGTTGCGTCCGAGCGTGCCCGCCACACAACTCCTGGGGCCTTGCACACGTGACTGGGCCCAGGCAAAACCCCGCGCAAGTTGTGCGACATGCTGAGAAAACGCTAGGGAAGGCGGGTTTTTTCCCCTGCTCTTTCACCCGTCCAAGAAAAGCCACTGCTGGCATTAACCTGTGCAGGAAGCGCTGCCACTGTTCTATCGACTAGTATATGAATAGCCTCTTGACAAAAAGAGTGTGACCAAAGGGCAGAAGCAGCTGATGGCACCACTGCCCAGACTTTTAAGAAGGACGTCTACAAACTGGACAGAGTTCAGAGATGAGCAGTGAAAAACAGAGTGGGATCTGCAGAAGACAAGCCACGGGGAGAACAGCTGCAGGAAGATGCCACGAAATCTAATTGGGGTGAGGGGAGGAGGAAGAAAAGAATAAAAATGAATACGCCTACAGAAGAACCATTTCTTGCAAGAACCCATTGACCTCAGTAGTTAAAGAAAGTCAAGACAAACTAAGACACTTTTCCAAGATTCAGGAGGGAGGCAAGTGTGAAGCGTTGCTATTTTGCTCTACTGGAAGTCTGGCATGCCCAGACTACTGTGTTTCCTGCCAGGATGCAGGTACGAAGATCAAAGCTGCTAATGCTAGGGGAATGCACTCCAATACAGCTCTGATAGTTGAGAGGTCTGGAGTTGCAGGTGCTGAGCAAGAGTCACACCACCCCAATCTATCTGCACCGCTGCCTTAAATCTTATCTTTGTTCACTGGGAGGCCGGACCAGTTCCAGCGAGACAGGCAGCGGACGTTTACCTGCGGGCACTTCCCTGCCTGCCCCTTCAGCCACTTCTCAATGCAGCCATATCCAAAGAGGTGCCCACAGCGCAGCGCGGAGAGCCGATGCTCCCCGGCATTTGTCCACTCCTCGAAGCAAATGGCGCAGGTGTCACCGCTCTCCTCCTCTGCAGGAAATGGCAGGACCGAGGGATCCTCTCCTTTTAACGGGGTTGTCTGGAAGAGGAGGACGTGGAAGGGGGGTCAGGCACACGTAAGCATGGCTGACTAGAACCCGACCCATTGTCCCTCGGCCTTTACCACCTTCTGCTGGACCGTGGTGCCTGGCAGGTCAGCCTCCTCTGGGTCACCAGAAGCGTCTCCAGGAGGTGCCACGTGGGCTGAGCCAGACACTGGAAAGCAGAAACAAAGGAATACATCAGACGGAAAGGGCCAGGGAACACGGACCGACAGGACTGCATTCAGAGCCAGAGTGACATCGTAGGCTCACAATCAACTCACTGGGATCTTAAAGGAAAGGTTTCATGCATGACTGTATAGGACTGGCCTGTAAAACAAACCCAGAGGAACCATTTGAAACTACTGAACACAAAGTCACTGCTGTTTAAGGGGATGAAGGAGCACAGAGAGCGGCCTCCTCATAAGAGTCCTTCGGGATCTTCCCAGTCCAGGATTCTACTCATGCTGCGGCCAGCCAGACGCCCACAGGATTCCACAAGCAGGATACAAGCGCAGCAGCACCCTCCTGCCCAAGTTCGCCAGTCGCTGAGGCACACGGCCATCCCACCCAATGCTGAAGGTAGCGGAGAACCACGAAGGCTAGCAGCCACCACAGCCTGCCTCGCCACCCATTTGTCCAATCTCCTCCCCAAACCACCCAAATGGGAAGCTATGGCTGCATCCCATGACAGTGAATTCTCTCGTTCAGCCGTGCACTGCGTGATTTGATAGCTGTCCTGACTGATAAGCTGTCCAATCAGCTTCATTTGGAAAGACTGATAAGCCCAGGCAAGTTTAACAAGTGGCAGGAGTAATCAGCAAAGAACAACAAATTTGCTGGAGAAAGTTATTAGATTTAATAGGTTATAAAGTAAATCTAGGAAAAATAGTCATTGATTACCAATATGAATTATAAAGGGGGCTGCGGAAGCTCTTACGGGTACTAAAAAGAAAATGAGAAATACTCTCTCTACAGCTATTGAATAGAAAACATGTTAGAAGATAGTTATGAAAAGCCCTTGTAAAACAAAATTAGCATTTCTCGTTAGAAGACATCAGAAGATTTTGTATAAATATGCAGAATACATTTAAATGGAATTATAAAATCCCCAGAATTAAAGCAACATTTACTCAGCAACTAACACAGTGGATTAGCAATACCAAACATTTCGTAGCCAACCCACACATCCCGACAAGCAAACTTAAGTTCAATTTTTTTCACTTTGATGTGCCTGACAATCAGGCTCATGGTAGTAACTCTCCTTCCCACCATTTCCTTCCCTCTCAGTGCTCCTGGCAGTATCCCAGGAGAATATGAGGCTTCGCTATTTGACAACTCAAATTAAAAGCTGAGTTTGGCTCACCACAGCTGTCAAACAGCCCTGGTTGAACAAACAGTGCCCATGCCCTGAAAAATTGTAATGATTGTAAGCCACGCCGAGGTTCATGCGATGGGGCGGCATATAAGTTGTTTAAATAAAATAAATAAATAATAATTAAAAAAACATAGCAGAGAGGATGAGCGACCTGATCAGAGGGAAGTTTAGGACAGACAAAAGGAAGTACTTCTTCACACAGCGTACAGTTCAACTTTGGAATCTGCTGCCATGGGAAGTGGGGATGGCTGCCAATCTGGACAGCTTTAAAAGGGAATCGGACTGATTCACAAAGGAGAAGACTATCCTTGCAGGCCACAGGCTTCCTCCTTCACCAGAGGAGGTCTGCCTGCACACACCCGTTTCTGAGGAGCTTGGATAGGTGGAGGTCTTGCACCCGTCCTGCTGGAGGGATCCTGCAGGCAGTTGGTCTGCCACTGTGTGTACAACGTGCTGGACTAGACTGTGGTCTGATCCAGCAGGGCTTTTCTTCCGTTCATATGGGCCTTTTCTGAAGCATCTGGCTCCTGAAAAAGAAGTGGAACCCAAACAAACCTCCCAAGCTGGCTGGTTCAGGTGGCTCCTCAAGGGCTCCAGTAAGTTCCCCTTCCCCTTCAGAGGAACTGCCACTGTTGTTCTCCGAGTCACTCAGAACCACAGTCTCATCTGAACTGTTCCCGCTGTGACCTGGCCGTTGGTGAGATGCTGCGGCGGCTTGCGTTCTGCTGACTTGGAAGTAGCTGTCAAGTGGTGCTGTGGAACTGAACCCCCAAGAATAGACTGTCCTTAGTATGTTACGTAAGCCACAAGCTCCAGCATTTAACAAACGCTCCCCCAAACCCACAATTAATCATCAAATCTTAAATTCCAGCAGACTGCGATAAAGTGAGGTGAGAGGGGAAGCAGTACTGTTCCACTAGCTCTGCTGATAGTCGACTTTCCCTTCTTTCCTTCCCATCCTTTTCCCTCTACATGTTGTGTCTTTTCATTTATTTAGCTAAAACATTTCTGCCCTGTCTTTACCAAAGTGCACCTCAAGACAGCTTACAAACCAAGAACAGCAAATGAAAATACAGTATAAAAGATATAATAAAATTCCAATTTAAAATCTATCAGCCGTTAAAGTACAGGGAAAATAAAAAAGTTTTGGCAAGGTACTGAAAAGAATAAAGTGCTGGCACCAGGCACACCTCTCTAGGGAGCAGATTCCAAAGCCAGGGTACCACCACAGAAAAGGCCCTTCTCCAGGTAGCCACTTCTAACCTCCTTCAAGGAGGGCTCCCAGAGAAGGACCTCCATGTAAGGTCTTCAAGTTCAGGCAGGTGTATATAGAAGATGTCCCTTCAAATACTTTTTAGACTGTAAGCCTGTGAGAAGGACCCTCCTTCTACTGAAAGCAAACTGCTCTAGGAGCCCTTTGAACTGAGAAATAGGATAAAAGTCATGTAAATAAATAACTTGGCCTTGCATCATGTGCCATCTTCCACTTGCACGGTTCATCCCACAGAACAACGGTCAACTCTGCAGCTCAGTGATACTCAACAAATTCTTAAACATTTTCTCTCCATCTACCGTATCCTATCATCTACGGTTGGACCAGCAGCACCTGAGGAGCATCCAGGGAGTTCAGTGCAGGGAGTCAATGAAGGGTGATGGAGCTGTCAGCTAAAGCATATGAAGAGCCACAATCCAGCCACTCCTGTGCTTTCCTTGCAAAATACTCAGACTATCCATTTAAATCAGCACAATGCCCACTTGTGCCACAACGAATGGGGCAAAGTTGGGAAATTCATTGATCAAAAAATTAACTACTTTGCTTGTGACGTGGTATTAAATGAAGCCAGTAAGCAAGGAATGTGGAACGAGCTGGGTTAAGTGGTCTTAAGTATCTTCCCAGCAGGAAAGTGAATACAGAGGGGGAAGCCGTGGGGCCAGATGTGCAACCAAAGTCCTTGCAGCCCTGCCCGACCGGCTTCTTCTTCCTCGCTGCAGGGAAGCGGCCAAGAGGGGCACCGATGCAAGACCCACGCTTCCCCCAGCCCCGCCACCTCCAACCTGGCCTTCCTGGGCTGGAGGCGCTGGACAGGGCCCGGCCCTTCCCCGGCCCAAACACAGGCGCTGCCCGGCCTCCAACCCAGCCAAGCAAAGGGAAAGCGGGGAGCCTGCGGTCGGGGGCGGGGTGAAGCTGCCCCCTTTCCTCTGCCCCCAATCTCTCCTAACAAGCCAGCGAAGCCGCAGCGCACGGCTTTATTTCGGGACAAGCTGCCCCCCGCGCCAGTAGGGGCCCGTCTCGAAGCGCCCGCCCCGCCGCCGCGGGCGCCCCCCAGGGAGCCCGCGGGCGCCCGGCCTCCCTCACCTGCTCCGGGCGGCCCGCTGCGAGGCGGCGCGGGCGCGCCGGTGGCTCCGCGGGGGGTTCCTGCCGGCGCGCGGCGGCCTCCGCG